CGACTATAACACAGCCAAGACAAAGTTACAGATCAAAGGTCACCTTTATGTTATTTGGTATGGTAACACGAGTGCATGTGAACCGTATTGTTGTAACTTCTGTACTGTTAGCTAAGCATGGGTGAAAGGTCAATATAATAAAAATAATAAATATATATATAAATGTATAATGTTATGAGATTTAAGCTACTTAGTCTAAACACTTATGTTTTTGTGATATAATTTGTTGTCATTCTAGAATGAAAGAGGCATAATTTATATTTATTTCCTAAATTTTTATGGTGGTTGTGAGATCAGTCAAATTTACTGAACCCGTACAGAGATTAATTACTGAAAATAACAGATAAAATAGTTTTTTCTTAAGAAATGTTTGATAACTATTCGGACATTATAAAGATTTCACATCTTAAATTTCAAATTTTTCTGATGCATAAAAGTATTATTAATCTTGAAATAAAAATTACTTTGCGTGATAGATAGGCAAGATTAAAAAAAAATTGATATTTTATGTACGAAAGCATTGTAATGTTTACTGATAATCTGCCAAATTTCTTTAACATTTGCTTAGTAATTTAAAAGCTATAGCATGAAAACTATAACGAGCACAAAATGGTTACGAGGTCAGTCCCAGGGACTGACCTCAGGTTGAAAGAGTTAAGAAAGCCTAAGAATAAAATGCTCACATGATTATTTCAATTTTTTTAAGAAGTTTTTTTAGTTAAGTTCTTGGAAAAGAATTAGAAAAGTGTAGAAGAAGGAACAGCAAACCATAAACTGTTGCCTGAGGGAACAGCAAACCATAAACTGTTGCCTGAGGGTTTCTTAGATTATTTAACTCATACTTGGACAGACGTTTGATGATGTCTAATGATTAAGAAAAACATTATTTTCATAATTAAGTTTAGCCAATAAGATAATTAAGATAATTTTTATGTATATGGATGACAAGTTATTTGGTGAAAGTTTCAAATAGAAAAGGTGTCTGGAACCATAGGCACTTCCACACACTGTCCTTGTAATTCAAAATAAGTTTGGATTAACTCGACCTTCTCATACTTTGATAGCGACATAATCAGTCACGTATCTGTGGTTCCAGACTTTTTGGACACCTTGTACTTCATCAAAGTGTCTAAAACAGTGGTCATTGTCATCCCAGTAATATTGAAGCTCATTAAATAATTTCTCTTTAGTTTTGTATTGTTGGTAGTGTCTTGTACTTGTACTTCATCAAAGTGTCTAAAACAGTGGTCATTGTCATCCCAGTAATATTGAAGCTCATTAAATAATTTCTCTTTAGTTTTGTATTGTTGGTAGTGTCTTGTACTTGTACTTCATCAAAGTGTCTAAAACAGTGGTCATTGTCATCCCAGTAATACTGAAGGTCATTAAATAATTTCTCTTTAGTTTTGTATTGTTGGTAGTGTCTGCTTGAAGCGCAGTATTGTTGGTAGTGTCTGCTTGAAGCGCAGTATTGTTGGTAGTGTCTGCTTGAAGCGACAGAAAACTGTATCATTTCATTTAACTGTTTTTATTATCAAATTTATAGTATTTAAAATATATAATATTTCAAATAATAACAGTATTAAAATGTTTTATAACAGTAGTTAAATTGAGGAATACTGGCATGAAAATTGATGTAGCAAATGTCTGAAATATGTGAAATTACTTTAGAGTTTGACATGTAAACTAAAATTTTTTTAGTATATAATAGAAATGCTCATCAGGTTAACTTTGGCTCTCTTGTGCTTGAATGTAGCTGTGGTTTTTCTGTTGATATCTAATTGAATGTAGTTATAAGATTTAAAGAGATTCAATCTTTCTTTTTTTTTGTTATTTCAAATGTATGTAATCTGGGCTTATTTCAAGTGTCTACGTGTTTTAAGTTCACAGGCCATAAGCAGGTGTTTTTCACCCCAAGCCTTAACAGTTTACAGTAAATGTAAAAATAGAAAGTTTTTATTCCTATTGTACATGTAAATACAGCTACCTGTACATTTTTTTATTTATTTAACTGAAAATGGGTTTCTTACCTAGTATAGTCCACCTTTTGAAAGCTTTGGGTTATTGAGTTTTGTATTTTTGTCTAGTAGGGAAGGATGTATTGAAATTTGTGTTTAGCTTTCTGACTTGGTAATATCTGCCATTTTGTATGGTGAAATTGTTTTTGTTGACAAACCAGATGGCTGTAAGGTAGGAATGAGCAGTAGGGATAATACTATTACAGTAAAAATACACAGTTTTAATAAAATGTGTCAACAATTACTAGAGAAACATAAAATATTAGGATCACTGCTAAAACTAATTTTGGCGTTATCATGTACAGCTTTAGCTTGGCTGATGTTACTACAAACTGTAGTTCTATTGGCTGATTTGAGCTGATGTCACTACAAACTGTAGTTCTATTGGCTGATTTGAGCTGATGTCACTACAAACTGTAGTTCTATTGGCTGATGAGAGGCTGATTTCACTACAAACTGGAGTTCTATTGGCCAACAAGAGCTGATATCACTACAAACTGTAGTTCTATTGGCTGATTTGAGCTGATGTCACTACAAACTGTAGTTCTATTGGCCAACAAGAGCTGATTTTAAGAAAAGAATTCCACATGTATTTAATAGTTAAATCAGTAAACAAAGCATTAAATGACCATACATAAAACTATTTCTGAAAAATAGTAATAATGGCTGTCCAGTTTCTTCTTTGTAATTTAATTTACTTTTACATACTTCTTTGAGATTAGCTTAATATTCATGTAATAGTATGCGTGCTTCCATGCAAGCTGTTATTGAAATATTTACGTACTGGTCTCTAAGTTTTAGAGTTTTATAGCTGCAGTACTTACATCACAGAATTGTTTTTACTGTTCCAAAGTAAAACTCTTTTATATTTCTCTAACTGGAAAGTATCTTTCTTTAGCCTGAAAAACAAAAAGAGTATAAACCTGTTTTTAAATTTGCTGATGGTTTTGTTATTTGGCCATTTGCACAGTATACAATATTATACAATCAGTTGTAGTATTGCTACACCAGGTGCTACAATTTCTTTGTTAATTTTATGAATAAATATATACATGTTTTATGCACGTACCAGTACTGTAATATAACCTCATGGTAATGTAACTATGCCTGTTTGTTATTCATGATTTAAGGCTTTTTTTTGTTAAAATCATTAGGTGTTTTGCTAAACATATTTCAACTAAAATCTTTGAATAAAACTTATATTTGTAACTTATATATTTATTCTTATTTCAAAATTATAGACAACATTTTAAATGATAAGAAAATGGTATTTTTCAGTATTACACGGTTATTTTACATGTATCTATTACTTGAGTGATGTAATCATGTTGAATATTTCTTGTGTTTTGTTTTTTGGAATGGTTACATGGATGTTATGCAAAGAAAGATTGGAGAATTGTTGTATTTGGTTTCGAGTCACGAGAAGTTTTCCGGTATTCTTTGAAATTTGTGTGTAAGTTAATAATAAATTTTTTTGTGCTAGTCTCACTTAGTGTTTTTTCAACTGAACTCAAGATAAATGAAGTAATTAAAATGTGCTTGGTGTCGAGTTTAGAACTTTATTTTAAAAATTGGAAAGAACAATGAAAAGTGTAAAATTACCTGTCACAAACTTTCAGCAGCTCATCATATACACCTACAAGTTTGACAAAAGGAAAACATTGATTATCTCTTGCCCAATGTTTCTGTGGACTAACATACAAACTTTCTCATGCCAAACTTTCATTATGTCATCATTTTTTATGTTACATTTGGTCGTTATTTTTGTTGGTCATTTAATGTTTGTTACTAATTTTTTCTTGATGTTCTCAGTTGTCATTTTTGTAATTTTCCTCTCTTTGAAATCAATTATCGCTACATTCATCTCTATGAGAATTAAGACACAGTGGGTGAAATTACTAAATTAAATTATATCAGGTCTGCTTGTTCATTCAGAGAAACTCCACTGTTTTTAATCTCATCATTACTAAAATGTACAGATATTACTTTTTCACAAGTGTCATTGTTAAATTCTTGTAGACCATGTTAATGAACCTTTCTTTTTGTTTTCCAGTTTCTAAGGATTTCTCAACAGTGTTTTATATTTAAAAGTTTTTTATTGAGGGGCTGTTTAAATGTTTTTTGTACTTTAGTGTGATATATACAAGTCCAGT